GCTTATGGGGTTTATGTGTGTGGTATGTATGTATGTGTATGGTATATATGTATATGAATATGTGTGTGGTGTGTATATATATACATATATAAGTGTGTGTGTGTGTGTAAGGATGTGGTGTATATGTATCCATATGGTGTATATATATGATATATTTGGGTGAGTGTGTGTATGCGTGTACTTATGTATCCATGTCTGCATAAATGTATATGAGGGAGTGTGCACTCTTGTGGTGGCCAGAGTGTGGCCATCAGGTGTTTCCCTCAGTTGCTCACCACATTACCATTATTCTTTTTTGAGAAGAGTGTCTTCACTGAACCTGGAACCCATCATTTTGCCTAGACTGGGTGGCTAGTGAGCTCTGAGGATTTTCTATTTCTATAATCCCATATTAGATTTACAAAGGCATGTCGCCATATTGGGCTTTTTACATATGTGTTGGGTGTACAAACTCAGGTCCAAGGACACACTTGCAGCAAGCACTTATCCATCAAGCCATTTTCAACCCCTTAACTTTAGTTTTTTCTTCTAGCTACAGTCCAGAACACATTGAAAGCATTCTCTGTGCCAGGTATGATGCCATCACTGAGAATCTTAAAACCAGTGAGGCTTTAGTGCGGCAGAGACTTTGACATTGAGGAACAATTGTACCACAAGTTAGGATGATATATTCACCAGAGAGCTTAGGAAAAGTCCAAGCAAGAATGTGTAAAGATGTAGCTAGCCATGATAGTAAAGGGTTGTTAGAATAAAGAAGACACACATGTGTAAAAATACCTGGAGTTCAGTACCCACGAATGCCTAGCCCTCTTCACACACTGCTGCTGAAGGATGAACTTCAAAACTTGTATTTTTCTGGATTAAACCCACTCTTTAATCTCTGGGCAGTCTTGCTCCCTTGCCCCACACTGAGACAAGCACCATTTGCATAGATCTATGCATAGAATAGAATACTGAGCAAGAGGAGTCACCTCTAAGTCCTGTCCTGTTGCAGTTGGGGTTAACTCACTCCTTGCCTGTCTGTGGCACTTCATCTCAGCACCAGGCCAAGAGAGAACTGAAGCATAACTGAGCTTGTGTCCTCATGTGCTTACATTCAGTGGTGCTATTCATGAAATGCTTGGGTTCTTCCTGGAACCAGTAAAAGCCATAAGCCAAATCCACAAACTAGATTCGTGGGTGGCTGATTTGAGATAGGCAGTGCAAGGAAAAAAAAAAATGTCCAAATCCCTATGTTAAGAAGTTCACTTGTATTTTGTCATTCAAACATTGAGTGCATATTAATTACCACCATCCCACTCTTGATTTTTACAGCCATACTGTCTTCTTGTTCTTGAACTTGTAGTCTCAAGAACCATGAGGAAATCAATTTCTATAGTGTAATCCACAGAGCCTATGGACTATCTCTATAGAAACTCAGACTAAGCACTATATAATGCAAACCCTGCTACATGGGACTCAAAGGGGTTACTTCAGTATGTAGTGAGTAAAATGATCATGCTGGGTATTTGCTTGCTAAATCCAGTGCATACTTCTAACCACTGGACTGCACAGTCTAATTTACCATGGAAATATCATAGTCTGTTATACCAACAGATTCAGAAAATAAAGATTAAACAAACTCAAGAGATGCCATAGTCAAATATTGGACATGAGTGTGACCTCTGTGGCTGGGAAGGAACACCACCTGTCACTGACACGTCATGCTAAGCCTGCTCATTCCTTCCCCTGGGATATCCACAGATGATTCCACAGCAAGCACATTGCTTCCCTGCACAGTTTGTACAGACATATCTCTACAATGTTCTCACTGAGTCACCTTTTCTGCTCCAAGTTAAGTTGAAACAACTGCACAGAGAGCTGAACTCAGAAAGGGGACCAATATCCATGAGTTTCCTCTGTGGTGCTTGAGTGTATGATTCGCAGTGAGTGGAGACATAGAAAAATACTGGACCTAGCATATCTCTTAACCCTTGCATAATTATTAAGTTTTCCCAAACAATGGTTATTAATGGTTTGAAAGGCAAGACCACATGATGCCAATTTACATCTATTGGAACTTAAAACAGACTGCTTACTTCACAGTGCTAGATTAGGTCCTTAACTTACTCTGGACTCCCTGCAATGTTTCCTAGAATTCTTGGTAGTTAGCATTTTTTTTTCGCTTCAGGAATCCAATGAACTGTGCTCACAATATTTCATTTAGACTGTTATTTTTCTACTGCTGTGCTAAGATACCATGGCCAAGGCAATTTATAAAATGATGAGTTTACTGGGGCTCACAGTTTCAGAGAGCTAGAGGCCATGACCATTGTAATGAGGTACATGGCAGCAGGCAGGCCAGCATAGTGTTGGAGCAACAGTTGAAGGCTTACGTCTAATTCAAAAGCATGAGGCAAGAGAGAGGCAGAAAGAGATAACTGGGAATAGAATGGGCTTTTGAAACTTCCAAGTCCACCATCAGTCCACACCTCCTAATCCTTCCCATATAGTTCCACCAACTGGAGACAAAGCATTCCAATATATGAGCCTATGTGAGCCATTCTCATTCAAACTACCATATAGATATAATTTGTATTTTCAATATATTATTTATTTGTGGTTAATACACAATTCAGTTTGTCTTTTAGTCATTAAAGAATATAATCTTCTACAAACACTGAGTTTCGACTGCTCCGCATGACACAGTTGGCATAACTCAGCAGGTGAAGGCCAAACCACCACACCTGACAACCATAGTGGGAGAAGAAAACAGAATTCCACAGGCTTTCACCTAACCACCATCTGCACATTGTGGTACAACGCACCCCCCTCACACACAAAAATAAACAGATATATGTAATAAAATACATATATGTTTAATGTTCTACATGCCCAGAACTAATTTTGAAGAGTACCATGGGGTGGTGAAAGGTATGTAAAGCTAACAAAAGGCAGGACTCTGTAACATTATACAGACATGGATAGGTGTTTACAGAGAACCCAATACACCAAGTGCAATTGGAGGAAGTTGACTTTTTTCAAGGAATTGGATAATGGGAGTCAGAATATGTGCCAATACTCAGTGACAGTGCCTGAGGAGACAGAAATTCTGAGAGAGAAGTAAGCTCAGTTACTCTGAGAGTACCAAGAAGAAAATCAGTGGATTATTGAAAATGGTTTGTGAGGGATAAAAACTGGATAATTACACAAATGTAATGTTCCTCAATAAACTTCCTTTAGAGACAGATTTCAAAAGTAACAATGCAAAGAACAACTGACTTCAGGATATCCATCCCAGTTGATAGATGTACAGTACCACTCTTATATCTAAGCTCATGGAATAATGCAGGAGAAGGAGCGGACAGATGGGAAAAACAGAAGTCTACTGTGCTGTGAGATTGTGTCTTCTAGCTATAACAGGGAAGACACATTGCTGTCTAAACAAGACCTGAACTATGATAGTACCAGTTGATGCCCCATTGTAGGTAGAGAAATCTCATGAGACCACACTCCTACATGAATAGCTTTAAGAAATTACTGACTACATAGAGAGGGAAGATTAGTCTTCCCGAAGGATGAGACCCCCGGTTTGCTACCCAATATAAAGTTGTAAGCCCTAGAAGCAGAAGTATACACATTCAAGCTATACTAAATGGACTCAGCAGATTGCATCATATGTATTAACAATAGTTTAAAAGAAGGAGTTCATGAACTTGAAAGATAGTAAGAGGAGACTGGGAGGGGTAGGAAGGAGGGAAGAAAAAATGATGCTAATATATTTTAATTAAAATTTTAAGATAACAATACAGAAGCATTTACCAATATGAGAAAAAAATGAAATCTATAAAAGAAGCCAGACAGGCCTGAGCAGTAGGTGCTTGGGCACAAAGGAGAGAGTCTGATGTAGTCCTACCTCTACATCTGTACACAAGGGCTGCATACTTACCCACACTCATCGTTTTAGTGTCTCCAGGTTCTAATATCTTACCCAAGAAAATTAACCTCTGCTGATAGAAACGCTGGTGCTTAGAGAGAGAGGCTCTCATTCAGTGACTGCCATGGAAAATCTCCTGTCCCCAGCCTCTACACTGTGAACTTCTCCCCATTTAGGGGAAAAATCAGGCAGTGTCTATTAGCAAATGTAATTTCAGTCTGTCTTCAAATATATTTTTAGCTGAGAAGAGCATTTGAAGATCATAACTCTTGCAAGAACAGACTGGCTGTGATTGTGGTTTAGAGAGGTTTCTTTGGCTCATCCCTAGGGCACTTTCCAAAGTTTGTGTCACATTCCTTGTCGCTCTGCTCTTGGATTTTTATCTTTGATGGCCACCAATGTCTTGTTCACTGCCATGTCCCTGGCACGTGCCATAGATGTCTCCGTACTGAAGGTTGTCTACCTTGGCTCTGTATTCCTGTCAGCCATCTTCCATGTGTTTTTATTGGAAAACATCTGCCCTAGTCTAGAGCCTGGACTGGAAGCAGGTACACAATAAACATGTGCTTTTACAAAATATGCAAGTTAATTAAAATACTTCAGATTAGATAAATCTTCAGAGCTCTGTCACTAAAGGGAGTGCATTACACACACTCTCTCTTGTTTACCTTTCCAAGTATTTAACAAAAAACAACTTGATTAGGAATTTGATGGATATGGAATTCTTGGTTTGAGAGAATCTTTCCTCCAGGTAACCCAAAGTTTTCTGACTTCACCACTTGCCCATGACTCTTATTTCCAGTCTTCAAACAACATTTTCTCTATTGTTCTCAAGCCCATTCCATGCTCATTCTAAATCTGATAACTGTTCTTGCTGCTAAAGAATTTTACTTTTATTTTGTGTATCTTATAGTCTTTTGTTTTTCTAGGAATTTGTGTGTGTGTGTGTGTGTGTGTGTGTGTGTGTTGTGATTTTCAATGGTACAAGTCTATGATATTGAATTAGAAAATAAATATCACTCTGTTCTTTCTGTATAGATGGCCTAAAGAGCACTAATGGACTTTTTCTCTGCTTCTATTTTAGAACATTTCCAAGAACTTCCCCAAATCAGCATGTACAATTTCAGAACCATGTTTGTCCACCCTGTCTTAACCGTTTGCCTTACCTTGGGTAAACCACCTGCGAATTTAAGATGAAGTTAATACGGACTACATTTGTGACTCCATAAGGTCAACAACCCCTGTGCTTCAGGAGCTGGGCTAGCAACGGGAATAAGAATGAATTGGTATAATGGTTACCTTTTGCCAACTTTACACAAACTCAAGTCATCTGGGAAATGGGAACCTAGACTGAGGAGTTGCCCCATCAGATTGGCCTGTAGGTATGTCTGTGGGACATTGCCTTGACTGATCCATTTGAAGAGGGCTCAGCCCACGGAGGGCAGCACCAGCCCCTGGACAGATGGTCCTGGGATGTCTAAGAAATGAAACTAAGCGAGCTAGTGTGCAGAGTTCCTCTGTGTTCCAGCTTGAGTTTCTGCCTTGATTTCCCTCATTGATGGCCGATGATCAGGGCTGTTAAGCCAAACAACCTCCTTCTTCCCAAAGTTAGTAACAAACTAGGATAGGAGAGCTGAGTCAAGTCAATGTTCCAAGTAGGAGCATGTGCTCGGACTGCTGGGTCCTCACAGTTGTTAAGGAAAAGGCAGAAATCCAAACTTTTATAGAAAATATACTCATTTAAGAGTATTGAAAAGTAATTTAGATTTTATAATCCACAAGACTAGTCCAAGCAAATGTATCTGTGAAACAGATTTCATTTCTGGACCACCAGTGGGAACTACTGAGGCCAACCTGAGAGTGAGACCAAAACATGACAAGTTTCCAGGAAGATTCGGCATGAAGGTGGGTGTGATTTTGTTTAGGGGCAGGGGTCCCATTGGTGTGTTTTTAGAGATGGGAAAGAGCCAACAGTATGATCTAAGTGTGTAGGAATACTCTGCCCACTTTAGCCAAGTCAAGGTCCAACCACAACAGATACCAACATAAGCAAAAACCAGATGCCATATGGAGAATCTACATAGAAAGTGCTTGTCTAGAAGCTACTTGTCCTATAAAGGAAGTAAAAATGGGCTGCAGTAAAGAGGGGACTGCATATGAGAAAGGCTTCTTTGAAGGAACTAGGCAAGAGCCTCTTTCTCAACCCCACTGCAGGGAGGACCTAGATGCTGCCTGTTTCTACAGGGAAACTCAGAGAACATCCCTGACAATGGGACTTGGCTCACACATGAGAAAAAGCCACCTAATGGGTTGGACCATCTTGAGGGGTCCACATACACATATACCCTCTGTATTCATAACTGCTGTCAGAGGGAGGGAGAGGCTAGCCTGCATCTGCTCTCCAGAGACAGCATATGACTTACCAGCTGATTCTTATGAGAGTTAAAAGTGCTATGGAAGGACTGAATGGCCTTGTTCTTCCATGGAGCTTTCCCCAGAGAGACAAAGGACAGGACTCACCTCTCTGCCTTCCAGGGCCTTTCCCAGCCCCTTCTACTTTTGTCTGCTCCATCCGGGAACTATAAGGTATCTGCCCTGAGATCCCCAGATGGCCTTTCCCACTAAGCCCCATTCTTATTTATCTTCTATGGAGAGAGCTCTCTTTAGGTCTGAGTCTCCAAGCTGAGGGAGTGTCCAGTAAAACCCAGTCCAGGGTAGCACTGATCTCATTATCTAGGGACATTTTCATTTAAAGAGCAGCTTTATTCACAGATGAATGTGCCAATAGGGTGGGAGGCTGCAATTTGCATTCACTGTGACTCCTAACACTGAATTGTTTCTGTGCTGGATTCAGCCTTCCCTTTTGCATCCAGTAGCTCCCAGGTCTGTATCCATAAGATCTCCAAATCCAAACAATAGAGCCCTCCATTTAGAAACTGAAACTCCAGCTTCAGGGAACAAAGCCAACCGCCAGCCCTCCCTGACTTTGCCTAGCACTTACTGTTTGTGTCATAATTTTGGCACTTGATTATATTCAGTCTAGCACGTGATTATATTCCTGTTCTCTAATGCTGTTTTTCAATTGCTTGTAACTGTTGCACCTTTTGCCAATAGTATTGTAAGTTCTTGAACAGCAGAAACTTCCCACCCTTTGCCACAGATCCTCATGCTGAGCAGTGCTTTGCTCAGAACAGACACGCAGTAAACCCTGCTTCAGAGAACAGAGTGCAGCGAGTACCCAGTTCCACCTTCAACCTGGCATTCAGTTAATGAGGAAGAAAGGCAGAAGGAACTCACCCTGTCCTTTCCTTGCTAAAAAATCCTAAGTATCTTTTCTGGGATCCTGATGAGAAAGGCCTGATATTCCTGAGATGATTTCAATGTGGCATGTCCCAAGGGAGGCTCGCCTTATGGGAAGCAAGGGTCTGGGTGCATAGCAGCCATGACTCATTGTCAAGTATGTGTGGGAGACTCTATGGTTGCAATTTCATGTAGAAAGTGTTTCTCATACATTCCACTTGTTCCCACACACAACCTTCCTGGACCGCAAGGTTGCCATGGCATCCATCTGTCCTATAACTGTGACCAAGTCTCACTGCTGCTTGTGATCCTTGGACCATCGAAATCAGAAGAATGGAATGTGGGTCACATGTCAGTTTTAATAAATTAGTCACATGCACAGTGAAGTCTGAGAACTAACTTGCTCTAAAGATGACTTTATCAGGTTCCCCCCTCAGGGAGACACTTGGTTACTGGAGAGCTGTCCTGAGTTCTAAATGACACTTTGTTCCTCCAGAAAAGAAGTTCCACACACCAGGTATAGCATACCTTATCTTCAAACCATGTAGTCACAGTTTAAGAGAATTTAGTCCAGACACAGGACAAGTAGAATAGTGCTAATAAGAACTACTGTGAGTGAAAACATTATTCCCAGGTTGGTAGCCCCGGTTCAACATGCTGGACCAGCCTGCAAGTTACAAGGACAATATAGTGGTGAAAGCCCAAAACCTCACCAACCTTCAATGCTCAATAGTACCTCAGTCCCTCGACAAATGTAGAGAACTTACTGTAATGCTTCCACTTTCCGTCATGAGCCTCAGCTTTGATTCAAGATTTTGCAGTCTGCCTGCTTGTAGCACTTGTCCTGCCCTCCCCTGAGACAGACAGACTCTGTACAAGCCTAAGCCCCAAATGAAATCTTGCTTTCACCATAGCATCTTCTTTGTCAAAACAAACTAGACCTATAACTATCTTGTGAACTCTTTCTCAACAAGACTCTATATCTCTGGGATGAAAAACAAAGTAACTTACACTCTGCTCTGCACCTGGTCTATCCCCCTGACTATTACAGACTTACATGTCATTCAGTACAGGGGTATCTTCAAACACTTCAACTGGTTTGGCCCATCCTCTCAGGAAGTACCCTGAATGAGTCCAATAGCCCAAGACCCTCCTCTTCCATCTTAAAAGCTAAGCATCTTCCACACCTAACTAGTCCAGTTGGTTGGACTGTCTTCCCTTGAGTGACACTTATGGGAAACCCTAAGAAAAATCCAGATCTTATTGCTGCATGGGCTGGCCTAAGAAGGATCCTCAATATGGCAATATCAAGAAATATTTAAGAGATGATGAGATGTTTATCCTTAAGAATTCAAGCATTTTCTTGAGACTCCTGACCTGGTAAGCTACAATGAAAATGATAGCAAGAATTGGAAGAAAACTACATGAATAATAATTTCAGTCAAAAAATATTCTGTTAGAAAACTGCATTTCCAACCTCTACTGCTAAAATACCTGTACTTCATACACTGCCCTTGCTGTCTTCTTCTAGCTAGAAGATTACAGTTTGAGAAAATGCCCAAAGGTCTGGGCTGGACTTTGCTTCTAGTAATATTATTACTGTAAAAAGAAACGATGCGTGTTATCAGAGAACCTTTCTAACCATTTCAGCAAATACTTTTCCCATACATACTATTCCTCCTAAGTGGATTAGATTACAAAGTAAAGTCATTACTAACATTAGAAACATAGTCAATTAAGACTATGGAAAAGTGTTAAAGGAGACAGAGACAAAAAAGTGTGATTTTTCAAATCCTTACGAACCCAGAACATCATGAGTGAGTTCAAGACATTTTGGTTTTGCTTTAATCTGATTCTAAATGTGCCCTGGTTCTTCCCTTTTAGAAAAAAAAAGTAAGAAAAAAAAAACACAAGTATGAGACCTATTTGGGGTTTTCCAGGAACCCACAGCCAAAGAGACTAGGTTTTAAAAGAGAATTTTGATTTTAAAGTCTTAAAATTCTTAAAGGATGTGGGACTTTTAAAGTTGAACTGTTTTACATTGTGACATTAATGTGAGATCTTGGGTATACATAAAAATTTATGGTTTAATAGTGATGTGTTTTTGTGTCAAGTTGACAAGGGGTCAATTGTCCTGGTTAGTTTTTGTCAACTTGGCACAAACTGTAGTAACCTGAGAAGAGAGAACCTCAGTTAAGGAACTGGCCCCATCAGATTGGCCTGTGGACATGCCAGTGGGGTCTAGTCTTAACTGATGATCAACACAGGAGGGCCTAGCCCACTATGGGCAGTGTAACCCTTGGGCAAACGGTCCTGGCTTCTATAAGAAGGCTGCCCCACATGATATAACAGACTTTGGAGATGCCTGATGAAGAGTCTCACCCTCCCTGGAGAGTGCAGTGGGAATTGGGTGGGGGGGGGGGTGGGGGGAGGAGGGGAGAGAGAGGGTGCTGGGATTGACATGTGAAGCAAGCTTGTTACTAATTTAAATAAAAAAAAAAGGGGAAAAAAAGAAAGCTAATTGAATGGAAATGGAGGAAGAGAGCCAGTAAACAGTGTTACTCAGTTCAGTACCTGACTATGAGTTCTTTTCTTTTTTAATCTTTTTTTTTATTTAGTATCCAGTTATGTCAGCACCATTTGTTGAATATGCTTTCTTTTTTCCATCGTATAATCTTAGCTTCTTTGTCAAAAATCAAGTGTTCATAGGTGTGTGGGTTCTTTCAAGGTCTGTGAAGAATTGGGCTGGGATTTTAATGAGGATTGCATTGAATCTGTAGATTGTTTTTGGCAAGATTGCCATTTTACCTACATTGATCCTACCTATCCAAGAGAATGGGAGACCTTTCCGTTTTCTGGTTTATTCTTTAATCTGACTATGGGTTCTTATCTTGATGATGGACTGTAACTGTAAGTCAAATAAACTCTTTATTCCCTGAGTTTCTTTTGGTCATAGTGTTTTATGAAGATCTAAAACTGGCTAGAACAGCTGGGATGGGAAGTACCGACTGTCATTTGTCAGTACTACAGGTGGCAGTCCGGGTTCCACCTCAGGATCACCCAAGTTCGCAGTTCCGGGGAAGGAGGCTGACATTTCACTCTCAACAACAGCGATGCATGGTGCTTCAGTGCAAATCCTGCTGGTTGTACACAGCTAACCAAAGCCTTCCATTTCAAACAATCAGGATTTCCTTCTAAGAATAAGGAAATTGCACCTGGCAGTCTTATATAGTATAAGCAAACCTGAAACAAGGAAAGTTAAATACCATTCTTTTAAATGATTTTAAATTTACTGTCTCAAAGAAACACACACTTGATGGGAACCCTCAGGAGCCATTAAACCATCACAGAATATGATTTTCCATGTACTGAAATAACTATGAATTTTTTTCTTAAGAAGCAAACAGCACCTCCCCAAATGAAAACAAAATCCTAAAAATGAATTGCTAAAATTCCACTAAATGACAAATTCTCCTAGAAATTTCTTCCTGGTACATAACTCCCAGATGCCATCCTCTGGAAAAGAATTGTTTTTTTTAGGGTACTTAAAATACATTCTGCCAAACATAATAATAATGTTCCTCCCAAGAACCAAAGAATTTTAAAAAAAACTTAAAGAAATCTCTCTTAAAATCATTGGTCAAAGGGGCACAAGAATCTCCAAAACAATACAAGCTTTTGTGTTGTCTTTAGTTCCTTCCAAAACTGCCACACACTTTGGAAACAAAACTAAGAGGAATCAAGGAATTGTCCTGGAAGCCTCCTCTCTGAGCACAAGCTCTCATAGAATCAGAGAGAGATGCAAACTATCAAGAGAGAAAACCATTAGTCCTATCACCCGCTGTAAAGTCTATGAACCACAATGAGCCGCCTCACAAGATATTCCCAATTAAGCATTTGTGACACTTGCATCATGGGTAACTACAAACTGCTTCTAACTGTATCCTAAATGCTTATCCTTATACCCCTGATAGGTATAGCCCTTACCTTTCTGAGAAGCTTCTCTTTACAGATAGTTGTTACTACAGAGATCCACAACTGGTCAAAATGTAGAGAATGAGTGATCATGGGTGCTATAGAGGCTAGAATAAGAATGGCCCCCATAGATTCAAATATTTATTTATTTGTTTGTTTGTTTATTTTTTTATGTAAATTAGAAACAAACTTGCTTCACATGTCAATCCCAGCTTCCTCTCCCTCCCCTGGTCTCCACCAACACCCCAACCGTATACCCAGCTCCCACTCTGTTCCCCAGGGAGAATGAGGTCCTCCAAGGGGGATCTCCAAAGTCTGTCATATCATGCTGGGCAGGGCCTAGCCCCCCTCCCATGTGTCCAGGCTGAGAGAGCATCCCTCCATGTAGGATGGGCTTGCAAAGTCCATCTGTATGCC